TTATTCAACCTTATCTTGATATCTTCATCGCATGCCTCTGGTTGAACTACTGTAGAAAACTCCAAGTGTTGGTAACCATAGGGGCTATGAAGATGCTCGATCCATCGCACCTCTTGTCGATTCATCGACCCTCTAGTTGTATTGAGGACTTAGCTGTTTTGCCTTGAAGTCTTCTATAGGCCTTTTGGTTCTTCATCACTTGTTGTTCTTCATTACTTTTACAAATATGAATTATGGGGTCTAACAGAATAATTGTTAGATTTAACACTAAAACAGTCATAAAAGCTAGTTTTACACTGAGATGGAGAACCAGTTGAGCTTTTAGCACTTGAAAAGTCTTTTACTTTCTTTAATAACTGGTCTCTTTCATCAGCAACTAAATCGTACTTTTTAAGTTTGGTTCTCATGTTTAATTTAGTTACAAGTTCTATCTCTAGATCAGACAATTTTTTTGAAGTAACCAAAAACTTACCTTCTAACTCATTCTTCAGCTTATCAAACATTTTCCTTTCTTTCTCAAACTTCTTTCTCTCTTCATCTGAACTTCCCTTATCATTCTCAGAAGCAATGTCCAGCCATTTCTTCTTCTTTGCAAGCTCTTTGGCAATTGCTGCTTGTTTCTCAACATTGTTTTTCTTTTCAAGAGCAAACAGTCTCTTTTCTTCATTTAGTGCTTTCTGCTTTTGTTCAGCACTAGTAAGCAATTCCAAATTCTTGCTCAGACATTTTTTTGAACTCTTTCTTTTCTTTATCAACCTTGGCTCATTCCAAGATGATAAGTTGTTCAAAATAAGAAACTTGCTTTAAAAGCATTTTGGCATTCAGCTCCAACGAGTTAATCTTATTCTCAAAAGATATACATTCAGAATCAAATCGTTTCACTACTTCAATCATCCTCTTCTTCTCATTCTCTAAAATTATCCTTTCAGCATTTAAACTCTTTTCAGGTTCCAAAACCTTTTTCTTCTCTAATTCCAATGATTTCTTTACATCAATCAATTCACTCTCGGATTCATGAAGTTTCTCTGTGAAATCTTCAGTCTTTGTATGTTTCTTTTCTGGAGAGTTCCCCTCAGCATGTAGTTCATATTCAGCTTTATGAAGTTTATTGAATAAATCTTGTTTTGTCTTGTTAGAACTCCTTATTTCATCATCAAACTCTTTCCTTGCATCATCCAAGGTTTTCTCACGTTTGCTAATCCAATACTTGGAATCGTTCTCAACTTGTTCTTTAGCTTCTTTATGCTCACGTCGTAAATTTTTAATAAGTTCCTCATTTGCATGATTTTCATAGAACATGTGTATATATTTGTCTTTATAATCTTTCACACTCTTTTCTAAATCAAAAACATTATTTTTCAATTCCTTATTCACCTTCTCAAAGAATGATGTCATTTAGAATTCAAAGATTGATCAAGAAAAATGAATCTATGTAGTATATGAAATCAGATATAGAAATTGCAATCTACAGATAAGATCAGTAAACGCGAAAAATCTCAGAAAAACTCAAAAACTGTTCAGATATGACAAATTCATTTAAAACAGTTAAAATCAGTAAAATAGTCAAAAACTGTTAAAAATAGTCAAAAACTGTTAAAATAGTCAAAAACTATTAAAACTGTTCAAAACAGTTCACAAAATCAAAAGACAGCTCAAAACAGTTAAAATTCTAAAAAAGAGAGATTTTGATGAAAAATAGATAAAAATAGAAGAAAACCAGATAAAAACTTATTAAAATGAGAAAAGGTAAAATCTGAGCAAAAACCAGTTTTGAAAATATCCACTTTTGGTAATAAAAAAAAATTCAAAATCGGACAAATGATGAAAATAGCTAAGTGATGAAGCTAAATCGGACAACCTTGAAAATCTAAGTGTTTTGGCCAAGAAAGATTCAAATCCAGACACAATTCTGTCCGGATATGGCTGCAAACGATCAAGTCTTTATCGAGGAAAAATGAATCCAGGTGACCAAGTACACGGGAAAGATAAGTCGCTTAGCCCAGGAATGAGAAATTCGGACACGGGGATGTCCGAGGAACCAGATCGCTTGGCCTAGGAAGGAAGCGATACGGACAAGGCAGTGTCCGGGTATGGATGTGAGAATAAGCGATCGCGACCAAGAAGAGACCGAGAAAGCCAAGCTCGGACAAGGCTATGTCCGAGGAAAGGCTAAATCGGATAGGCCAGCAAGCGATGAAGGCTTGAATATGGGTGACTTAAGCGATGTAGTCCTAATACGGATGCTGCTTTGTGCTAGGAATGTCCTAATCCGTGTAAGCCTGTTTCCGAGTTAGACCAAATCCGGACAAGGCTATGTCCGGATTACACGATGAAAAAGAGGCTAAGTATGGAGATTGAGTCTATGATATAACCAAGTTCGGCTAGACCTTTGATCGATTTAAACTACAACAAATATTCTAAGACTTGGAATCCGGTTAAGCCTTTGTGAGATATAGCTTGAACTCGGCTAACATTGTATGCGATTTAGGCTAAGCAGAAAATGGTTAAGTATAGAAATCCGGGTAAGCTTTGTGTGATATAATCAAGAATCCGATCAAAACATGTCAAAAACACAAAATCATTAACTTTTTCACTCAAGAATGGATCAAAATAAAATAAAAATTATGAACTTTTTCAAAGAACACGAAACTCTTCAAAAATCACGAAAACAACAGATCTCGAAAATGATCGATCAAATCACAAAATTTTGTGAATAACAGAGATTCACTAAACAATTACACACACAATGATCATTATTTTAACATCAAAACACGAAAATTTGAAAGATTTATGAATCAAAATCTTGAAAAAATGAAGAACACTATAAGAACATTAGATGAACAGTTGAGAAATTTCTAGAAAAAATTCTACAAAATATGATTTCTTCATATTGATTTCACTGCATTCCGGCTCTGATATCAATTGTGAGTCCCACAATATGATCAATCTTCAATATCATTCAAGAATCCATGACAATCTTCATATAATCAATAAGAACACTTAGAGAGGAAAAGTCAAACAGTCAAAGTTCTATATATCTCTCAATGTTTACGTATGTTTACAATAAAGCTCTTCTACTTACAATCACTACAAGACAAACTATTTATAGGTCAAACAATGTAAGCCTCTAGTCAAAGTCAACTATTACAAACAAAGTCAAAGCTAGTAAAATACAATATTAATCTTTCAAGACGAATACAATTTAACACTAAATTCAATCCCAACACACTTTTTTTAGGAGAAGGATGTGTATGAAATGGGTTTGGAAAACCCAAATGGACCACTAGTTACACAACTGGTTCTTAAAGATACAAGGTTCATCTCAAACAACCCTTGCACTTCATTCCAATTCTTGACAACCAAACAAATGATCAAACTGTATTGAATTCAATTCCAATTATTTTGATTGATTCGAATTCCACCAGATTTTATTATGCAAATCAATCGCCTCTTAAGTAATTTGGGTGTGCATTTGATTTTGGAAGTGCAGGAAGAACACGGGAAGGGGGTATCGTTCACCGGATAAGAGGGGAAGAGGGAAAGGAGTGCTATTCATCGGAGATGGAATGGTGAAAGATTACGTGTTTGTATATATATATATATATATATATATATAATAAAAATTAGATGAAATGATATAAAGACCAAAATGCTCAGGAGTTAACAACTGAAACTAGAGGACAATCTCATACGTAACCAGTAACAAATCGCAAACCATAATGACAAAAGCCATAGCTAATGAAGACTAGAGACAAAAACAAAAATTTATTGGAACCACAAGGATGAAAAATGTAATTTACTCCAAAATGTAAATAGGGCGGTAAACGAACCGAACATTCAGCGAACCATTCATGAACCATTCGGCGGGAAGTTCGTTTATTTAATAAATGAACGAACATGAACAATTTTTTTCGCTTAGTTAAATGAACGAACATGAAAAAGAGTTGTTCGTTTATTTAAGTTTGTGAACGTTCGTTCATTTACGTTCTTTTATATCCGTTCATTTATGTTCATAATTTAATATATAATCTTTTATTTATTTAGTTTGAATTCAAATAATATTATTTAAGTTTTAAGTTTTTATAATATATTTAGATTTAACTTTTATCATCATTTTATCTTATTTGAAAATTTTACTTTTTCACTTTTCCCTCAAAACCCTAGTCTCCATATGAAACCTTCTACAAATCGTGAAAGGTTGAAAAAGGCTGTGAACGTGAACCCTAAATCGCTTCATTTATTCGCTCATGTTCTCCACCAACAGGTACGGTTCTTTTTGTTTTGTTATTTCCTTGATTCGATCTGCTTGTTTCCCCCTATTAACTGGTTTCCTGGTTTCCTTTAACAAGGTCATAGAAAATATATATATTTTATACACATTCAGTCTTCTGGTTTCTATTTTATTAATCGCTTTATTTTTTTGGTGGGTATTTGCTTCTGGTTTCATTTTGATAAGGAAGACTCGATGAAGAACAATCTTCTCCCCTAGCCCTTGTATTCTAGTATCTATTAGCATCAAATTTCTGTTGGAGAAGGTCTAAACTAAAGAAAAATCATTGATCACGTGTACTAAGAATTTGTGGCTCATGAGTAACAATAAGATTACTCAAGAACTTTATTCATCTTAAAAATAAGCAAACTAGTGGTGTTCGTTCGTTTATGTTCGTTTAGCCCGTTCATTTATGCTCGTTAATTCACGTTCATTTAACATGTAACGAATGAAAATAAACGAAAACGAACAAACCTGATTTCTAAACGAATGAACATGAAAATAAAGATTTTCATTCATTACCGTTTGTGTTCATTCATTTGTTTGGTTAAATTAAACAAACGAATATAAACAAGTCCTTCTTTGAATTCGTTCTCTAAACGTAAATATAATTTAAAGATCAAAATAAATAACGGAAAACAAAAATAAAATCCATATATTTAATTCTACCTTAGATGCATCGATTCCTAGTGCTTATATAACCCCGGCAGGGGAGCAGAACAACCCTCGCCCATCCCTTCTCCGCCCCTCACCACCCTGCCCTAGACTCCCTCGAAGTTCCACCACATCCATGCCTAATTCAGGGACACAAGCCGCCGACGGCGAACAAACAACACCGATTATAATTCCGTCGGAGACCGAAGATCAGCTTGCTGCGCCGGACCCACTTTTGGGGTCCGGATCTTTTATCGATCCTAACAACGGAGGAGATCAGAATGCTTCCAAGGAAGCAGAGAACTCGCCAAACCCTAGTTCTGCCCTTCTGAAAAGAACCAGGCCTTCATGGCTGCCCGAAAATTGGGAAATGCAATTAAGACAACGTACTTCTGGTGCCACCGAGGGCACAGTTGACAGGGTCGGTGATACATTTTCTCATACACTACTATGTTTTCTATGCTGCTTAACTTTTGGTAATTTTTGTATGGTAACTGTATAATCTTTATTGCAGATACTTATTGTGGCTTTTAGTTCTTTTACATACTATCAGTGCTTAGTTTAAGATTAATTTAATGAAAGCAGTTTTAATTGTTTAGAGATAGTTATAGAAATCTTATTTTGGATAATGTATGAAAGAGGGGGTGGGGGTGCAAAGCAGTTTTAATTGTTTAGAGATAGTTTAAGATTATTTTAATTGTTTAGGGGGTGTTTGGTTTGATTGAAGGAACGGGAATGGGATTGAATATGTTGGGAAATGGGAATGGATATCTTCATTGCATTGATTTGCAATCCTTTGCATTGTTGATGTTTTGGAGATAGAAAACAAAATGACAAGACCCATTTCTTCCTCCCAAAACCATTTGAAGAAACGACTAAAAAGCTCTTCTGTGAAGAAACAAAATCCAAAATCCAAAATCCAAAATGGTAGACCTACAACTATAAAATCAAAATTTTTGAAGATAACATTAAACAGCTTCAACATTAAAACAAATCCAAACTTTGGACAAAACGGCTATCATCAAGGGCGGATTTTGAAGATAGCAGTAGGGTTTTCTAAAACTAGGGTTAGGAGGTGTTATGGCGATGGTGGAGGGAGAGAGAGAGGGAGGAGAGGCGGATTGAAGCCGATCATGCCCTAGATTTGCTCGCTCTTCAGCTTGCTTATAGATTGAAGCAGGTATGGCCAAAATGACTCATCGATTGAAGCATGTTCGAGCTCACCATTAATGTTGTTGATCAGAGCTTACCATTGTTGGCTGGAGTTCATCATTATTGATCAGAAATTTGAGGGGTAGAGAGAGGGAGGGGAGCGACAAGGAAGATGGAGTGTCCAGTTTTTTATTCCCCCCAAATTAGGGAGAAATGGTTTTTCAACTTAAAATAATATTAATGATTGATTTCATCATATAAAACCAAGGACAATTGTTATTTCATTTCCATTCCCTAATTGAACCAAACACCATTAATGATTGTTATTTCCATTCCCCACCTTCTAATACCCTCTACCAAATACCCCCTTAATGTTTATGCTGCATCATTCCCGGAGGATTTTGATTCTTGATCCATAGGTATTTATCACAATGCCTTGTGTGGCAACTCAATTTAGCTACATCAGAGCCCTTGTTGGTTTCTACGCGTTGATGATTTACTTATATATATAATGTCTATATGTATAATGTCAGTCAATTGTCTTTGGATTTTTATCGTGTTTTTAGTTTTCATGTCTTCTATTTAACTCGAAGATTACTATGTCATAGAAATTTGTAGGACTTGTTAGACCATAACCACCCCAAAGTTGTTAAAGGCTCAAGGCGCACTTAGGCGCAACGGGTTCCTAGGACCTAGGCACGAGGAGCAGGTGTGAGGCGTGGGCCTCAAGAATGTGAGGCACTTCTTATCCATGTACACACACACTCACACATAGAGTTACACACAAGTCTCCAATGCAGCAACCAACAGTAATTCGATAGAGGCAGAAGGGTTTAAAGCTTGAGCTGTGAAGGAGAAGTTTTAAGGTCTGGGCATTTATAGAGAAGGAGGCTTGAAGTTCTAAGGACTTAGGATTTAATATTAGGGTTTGACTTGTTATCTATTTAATAACACTTTTTTTTTAAGAAATCTAGGAGATGAGAAGATGAGATAACTTATTTAATCTTAGGGTTTAACTAGGTATTAATAACTCTTTATGAGGCGCACCTACGCCCATAAGGCGCCTCAGCCGAGGCGCAGTGCCTTGGTGAGCCTCGTGAATACGCCGAGCCTCAACTTGAAAAAAGCCCAAGACCTTGAGCCTTATGAGCCTCGGAGCCTAGGCGCGCCGTTAACAACCATGAACCACCCCATTCTCATATATCACTAACTTGCACATAAATTATCATGACCGATAAAGAGGTCCATTAAATTTCTCTATATTCGCTAATTTTGGTAGGTCAGGATGCTATTAAGGACATAACATGTACTAATAGGAGGATAATTGAAGATAAAGGACCCCTTTCTTGTAGGAAGTTATAGAACACGTTAAAAAGGAGTAAGTAGCTTCATGTCAACCAAGAAAGATGATAGTGTAGGAGACAAAGAGATATTTGAAAAGGACAACATGTTGTGTTTGACACAACAAATGCATGACATTTCTTACAAAATAAAGTTACAAGTGTATCACTCAACTCAAATAAACATGAAGTTTAATGACACCATAATGTGTAAATTTTGAAATAGCACATGTTAATCTAGGGTACTAGTGTACTATACTACTACTTGAATTGTACTTCTATCTTAGTTCTCATATAGATGTAAATTGCATGATACATGTTAGGATAAAGAGACCGATGCTTTCAAGTTGTATCTTCATCTATTAATTAACTTAACATTCCATCTTTGATGGTGCAAATATAGGAGGATTAGTTTAATGACATAATAATGTGTAGATTTTTGTAGCATCACATTTTAATCTAGGGTACTACTGAAAATGCACTTCCATTTTTGTTATAGTTATAATTGTAAGTACATGTTAGGAAAAGGAGATTGAGCCCTTGTTTGTTTTAAAAAAAAAAATCTCTTATCGGCCTCTTATGTTTGAATCAGTAAGACGGTAAGAGGTAGGGCCATTTAGATTGTTTGTTTTTATCAAAATTTTAGAGGCAATGTCTTACCGTCCTCTTATATGGTAAGAGGTAAACCAACCCCTTGTTTGCCTCTTATTTTTCTCTAGACCCTCAACAGACGGGTGTTTCTCAATCACTCCTCTCTCAATTGATTAACCTTAAAATTGTATGTGTTCATAAATTTGACATTATAATATTTTGAAGGGTAAAATAGATAATTATAAAGATTCAGGTTTCTATTAGTTTACAAAAAACAGACAGTCTTATTGATTCTGGTTTCAGACTTCAGCCTACCTCTTATCAATCATAACTGAAATAAGACTTCAGACTTCAGCATCTCTTAGAAAACAAACAACACCTGATGCCTTGAAGATGGTTCAAGATGTATCTTCATCTATCATTAACTTAAGATGCCATTTTTATGGTGCAAATCTACTAGGATTAGTAGGACAACTATTAGATTAGCTAGGGATGTGATTGGGTTGACAAGTTGTTAACATAAGTCAAATATAGTACTGTCTAATGCACTCGTACATGCTTTAGGTAGTATAAATATAGGGATCGAGCAGTTAGAAGGGAGGGATCAGTAAGTCTGTTTTCAGCGAGAGCCTTGGGAGAGAATCTGGCTTCTCTAAAGCTAGAAACCATATTGTAAGCATTCAGTTAATGTCTAATACAGTTCTATATCCCTCAAATTAGTCCGATGTTCATCAATTGGTATGAGAGCAGTGCGATCCAGGGAGGATGATGAGAGGCGTTACATCTCAAATTGGCGATTTGGGGAGCAACGGCGATTTGGGATATGTGGAGGCAAAAATAGTGAAATTCAGGAACATTTAGGATCTGTGAATAAGGATTTGCAAACAATGATGAAAATGATGGAAAAGCTTATCGAATTACTAGAAGACAAGTTGAAGAAGACGAATCATCTTGAATCCTATTCATGTTTGGGAAGAAATTCAGGAATTCGAAGCAACCTAATTAGGATATGCAATAATCCAGATCTGGTAGAGAAGGACAAGAAAGGAGAAAATTTAGAAAAGGAAAACAAAAAAGGAAAACAGGCAAGAAGGATGAGTATCATTCAGATTAAGTTCTGTTGATTTCACCACCATTTTTGTCATTACTATTGTCTTTCTCACCACTGCCGCTACCAACTCCTCCCTCCTCATTGTTGATTATCGCCTTTCCGCCATGGCTGTTGTTATGGTTGAATTCAATGGTGTTTCCATCATCATTATGTCCATCAGCGAATGTAACATAGATCTTGAAAAATATGTGGATCATTGGATCTAAAAACTAGTTTAGAAATGAAAGAGCCCATAAGCAATCAAAGCTTGATCTAGTGCTTTTATGACCCAAGGCTTTAATGATTTTTGTCTGGCCTAAGCTAGTGTTCAATCTCTTTGATGACAGAAATAAAGGGATGCTCTCTTTGATCCTCAAAATTATATGAGCCTTTGTCTCCTCATCAAACTGTCCTTTTAATGGCAAAAGGGGGAGAATGGTTGGCCGATGGCCTTTGGAAACTGCCACCACCGTGGCGGCCACCGTTCTGCCGCCACTGTTATCGCTACTGCTGTTGCCGCCACTGTTATCACCACCAACAATCATTGATGTCAATTGTTGGAATCAATTCCAATTTTTCCCACCTTGATGACAAGGTGGAAGTTTGGGGGCGGATATTGTTATACCCTGGGTATTTTAGTAAATAAGTCAAATTGAGTAGGCTTACAAGTGTCTAATGCACTGGTACATGCTTTAGGTAGTATAAATAAAGGGAGCAAGCGGTTAGACAAGAGGGATCAATTTGTCAAGTCTATTTTGGGCGAGAGCCTTGGGAGAGAATCTGGTATCTCGAAAGCCAAAAACCTTATTGTAAACATTAAGTTGATGTCTAATACAGTTCTGTATCCCTCAAATCAGTCCAGTGTTCATCATACAACATCCAATTAACTTGGTCCATGATATCTTATTTAAATATGTTTCCCTTATAAACTATTGGTATATGAGTTGTTGATGATGTAATTATGATCTCATAGTAGTGACCTATCCACCTATTACTTTTCCCCTTCTGATGATGGGTCTAGGTTTGGAGACATTTTCTTGGAAGTCCATTTCACACTCTCTCTTTCTCATTGTCTTTTATTTGGTGAAAGATGATTATAATTTTGGTTACAGATTCATTCACACTTCTTTTATATAAAAACTAAAATATTCAAAGACCTTTGAAAGAAATCTTCAGCTATACCACTATATAATGTGGAATTCGAGGTACGCTTTGTCATTTGTAGGTCTTTATCTTAGATCCATAGGT